CTACCCCAGGCCTTGCTTCTTAGTGTGTTTTCAATTCCAATGCTTTGTTTCTCTAAGATCCCATCCACTTTTCACAATTTAAAGCTTTAGCTCATAGTGAATCAGTCACTCCCAAATTTGCAATTCTATGGCAGACTTTTCTGCTAAACTTCAAGTCCATTCCCAATTCCCTGGAGACATCTCCCCCTGCAGGTCCTACAGCCAGCTGCATGCCTCTTTCTTCCAAAGCAGGAAACACTTGGTAAACATATTTATCTGTCCAATGTCCCTGAAGGGCAGTAAGGAACAGGCAAGATGAATAGCACCATCCTCACCAAATCACGACAGCTATTAAGCCACAAGATGCTCTCTCTGTCTTAAGAAAAATGATGTAAATTGGTAAGGTGTTCAGTTGTGATGCTGTGTATGAACCAGTGCAATGGAGTCTTTTGTCAATATTGCAAACCTTGGCTCCTGGCAGAAGAAAGACGGAAACTAGGTAGAGCTGAGCCTGCATTTGCAGCCTTAGTGCCAACTGGGGAATTCTGGTCTGCAGCCATGGGAGAGCTCCGTCCTTATGCACAGAGGGAACACATTTATCCCTTCCTTTAGGCGTGAGCCTTAGGCCTTGGCAGTCCTCAAAACACCTCCCCCACATCCACATCTCCACTTAGATTTTTTTTTAATGCCTAGTTTGCTCCAACCAGTCCCAGTTCTCTGTGGCAACAACCCCTGAGCCCTCACAAAGCACTTGGTGGATGCTTTCTATGGAAGGCCCTACCCCCCACCAGTCAGGCCTCTCTCTCTCTTCTTGGAGGACAGGACCTCTTGCCACTGGCCAGGTCCCTTGCTCAGCTCCCCCAGCTGACCCACTGCAGAAGGGCAGAGGGCAAAGGGCAGAAAATAACTCATGAGAACGAAAAACAAAACCCCATTGGAACCACAAATGGCAATGGCTTAGGGAAAAAGGGTCTTGGGATGCTTGGGCTATTAATAAAGCGGTGTGTGCTCAGTGCTCTCCTCCCAGGGAACAGGCCAGGCCAGTTCATACACAGGCGTGTTCATTCTGGGGAAGACCCCAATTTACCAGATTAAATGTACCCCAGGCCCTGTTCACTCTGCAAGACCCTCCCAACACCCACATGCACATACATGCAACTTTCTGTCGATCAAGTCTTTTAGGCACTTGAGTCTTTAACTCCTTGTTGTCCCAGGAAGGGAAGAAGGCATGAGAGCAAAGGGTTGTGTACAAGGGTTCTCCTGAGGACATGGTGGGAGGTAGCTATTTCTTTGCATTTACCCTCTATGACCCTGGAAAGATTAAATCAGCAAGACTTGTACTATATTCCCATTAGCCACAGACAGACACATACACTTGCTCATAGAGTAGTAGGAAAAAGTCCCTAGAACTTTCTTTCCCCAGAGTTGTCTGCTGTCTTCAGCTCGAGTAACCAGTGGATTTATAATTTCCACCCTTTGCTTGAATTTCCCACCACTTCTCTCCTCCTCACCACCCCTCCCCCATATCCTGCCCCAAGACCATGGAGAACCCTAGGGAATATTCCAGAATGGGCTGCGCCAGAACTAGCTAGCCCTTCCCAGCTCACATCTTGGAAAACAGCATGTGAACTAATTAGCACCTCTCAGCCATGAAGAAGCTCTGAGTCACAGACTCATAATTGAGGTTCTGAGAGGGAGATGGGACCACACATGGCTGTCCAGCCAGGCCCCTGCTTTCAGGCAGAGAAGGTGTCGAGCCTGTGATCGAGATGAGGCTACTGACACAGTAAAAGCCCCGCTGTGGAGCAATAATGCTAGGTTGGTCTGCATGTCTGCTGGATCTACTTGCTTCCTGAAAGTGTCACAGCGTTGGACTTTGTCCTAGCTCCTCACCATCTGAGACCCACTGAATCAACCTAATGAAGGTGGTGGGGGGTGGGGGTGGGATTACAGGCATGACGTCCCAACTGCCCCACCATCCCAACAATGTTTAGTTTGGTCAGGGAGTTTAGAGTAGGCCCCTGTCAATTTGATTCAGGAATAGCATGTGTTTTTATTAACGTGGGAGGTTAAGTTCCATCCAAATGAACCCATGGAGTATGGAGGGACACTGTAGCATAGCAGGAACAGTGCTAGGCTGACCTGGGTATAGTTTCTGCTCTGTCCCTTGTAAGTGGGATGGTTGACCTTGGACCACAGATATAAGCTCTTCCTGATCTATATAATGAGAGTGATAATGACGCCTCACAAGTTTGTTGTGCAAGTTCCTGGAAAACGTCCAAGTGCCATGCGGATACTATTGTTTTTTGTTTAGTTTTTCAGATTTTTCATTGGGGAATTGGGGGAGGGGAACAGAGCTGGGGAATCGGGGGAAGGGGAACAGACAAGTTGCTGTCGTTTTGTTCTTCAGTCTAGTTGTGGAGGACGTGGCTTCACTGGCCCAAGTTGGCACCATCATTGCGCTCTTCTCGGGCAAGGCAGATCAGTCACCGGCTTCTGGACGGCCGCTCACTGCGGCTGCTGGCCACTGGTGCTGGCTACACACGGTAGCCCATGGCAACCCACTGCCACAGGGGCTGCAGCCTACACCGTCGCCGGCGACTCACGGCAGCCCAGCTCCAGGTTGAGCTGTTGTTCAGCATTTTAGCTGTAGAGGGCGGTGTCACTGGCCCTCATATGTGGGATCCGAACCGGGGCCCTCTGGCGTCCCAAGCCAGCTCTTAACCAACGCACCACTTGGCCGGCCTGCGGATACTATTGTTAAGCCCAATATGCCTCTAACAGCCAAATAAAAGATGGTAGCAAACACTCTGTTTTGCACATGGTAGATGCCTGGTTTTCTCACCACCGGGTCCCCTAGTGTAGCTCTGAGCCCATAGTAGGCATAGAAAATTATCCGTTAAAGGAATGAACAATGAACTCATATCAACCTATTATTTCAATGGTCAAATGCCTTCAACACAGCCCCTTTCATTTTAAAGCTGGTGACTTATCTTAGTGTTGGTTGGGCTTTGGTGGTCTGAAGTATAAGAATATTTTAGCTTTGGTTCAGGGTTGGCTATTTAGATCAGAAATATCAGACGAGGCTGCTTGGTTTAGGGTGAGTGCAAGCTACTTGTGTTGTGAGTGCTGCTGTGTGTGGGTGTAGGCACTTCTCACACCCCATCATGGCAGACATCATAACAGAAGCACCTTGGCTAGGTAAGCTACGAGTGCCTGGTGGTGGGCACAGTAACAACACACATTTAATAGGTTCTAGGAGCACTCCATCCCTTTTCTTGTTCAATGTGCACAAGTACCTGATGGGGTGGGTGCTTTTTTGATCCTTTTATTATAGGTGAGGACTCTGAGCCTCAGAGAGGTTAAGTCACTTACTAAAGGTCACCCAGCTGTTAAATGGAGGAGTCAAGATTTGGTGTCCAGACTCTGACTTTAAAACACTTGCTCTGTAACTGCTGTGCCTATACGGAGCCACACTGCAGAACCAAAGAACTAGCCAGAGTCACAGACTGCCAGCACTGGGTGGACCCAGCCCAGTCACCTCATTTTTTGCCTGCGGCCCAGAGCCATTCACAGATTAGCGTCCACATAGGGCCTACCACCCAGGCTCCTATCTTCAAAGTCCGCTGTCTTTGCAGCCCTTCCCATTCCTTTTCCATTCCGCTGCCTGTAACTAACTTCCCTCCACCCACCCTTCCCACTGCCCTAAGGTTCTTCCCAAGGCAAGAAAAGTAATTTAACAGGGACTGGGAGTCAACATGGTCCCGAGCACACCATCATTTCTGCTGGAGACAGAATGATGATTCACTCACATCACAGGGACTTGCAACAGTAATAATTTAATAAATGGGTTGCCATGGGGGACAGTAAAAACTCTTAATCTTGAAAGCTTTAAAGTTTCGATAGGTTGCATCCATCAAGGACAGCTGAAAGAAAGCTGAAAGGACGAACTAACTCCACCGTTCTCAGCCTCATCAGACTCCATGTGCTCCTTTTGTAAAAAATATTTTGTAACACCCCCTATATTATCCAAAAACAAAATTCATAAAAATACAAACTACCAAACGCACACTTTCAAAAATTCAATTTAATGTCTTAATTATAACACAAAAAGAGAAATAAAAGGCTATATATATATATATATATATATATATCCTTTTATTTATTTCTCTTTTTGTCATATATATATATATGTGTCATAATATATATATGTCATATATAATAATATATATGTGTATATTATTGCCCAACTGCCATTACACTGATAGACATAACGAGAGCTGTTTGGATCTTTAGGTAGCATCACATGAAACAGCAGCTACTATGCATATGGACTGATAGCCGTGTGTTCCCAGTGGCTCTAATACCACGGCAGAGCTGTCATCGGTGATGTGATTTTCCAAAGCAGTGAACAACTCTTAGTAGAGTGCTGATTGAAATCAAGGGAAATTTCCCCTCAATTCGTATGGTAGCTGCATTTTTGAAATATTCAGTATATATTAAAACCACACAAAAATACTTTGTGTTTATATGTAGTATGGATTTAGAGTTTCCAGACCCAGAAAACCAGGGTTTTCAATACATGAATGTCTGGAAACATTGGAAGGACAGGTGGGATCGAAAACAATTCTTCTTTGTACAGGACTGTCCTATGCATCACAGGACACCTAACATCCATGGCCCCCACCAGCATGCAAGAGTGGCCCACAATTTTTCAGGACACTCCCAGCAGTTGAATTGCCCCTTTCAGAACCACTGCGTTAGGTAAACTTTCAGGTTCCCTGCTTCTAGCCCCTACATCAGCAAACACCTATGGAGAGCCCATGAAAAACAAGGCTTTGCGCTGGACAATGGGGCCATTGTGAGGCTGGATATGGGAGAATTCAGAGGAGGAGAAAACACTGTCCCTGCCCTACAGTGGGGTGAGGGGCAGGAGGAAGGGAGAAATAGAGTAAGAAAATGAAGCATGTAAGTCCCACCCGACTCTGGGTATCTGGGGGCTGGAGCTGAGTTTTACTCACCTTTTTAACATAGTGGAGGCCCTGGAACCGAGGGCATGATAAGTCCTTGTTGCTTGATGGATAAAGGAAAGGCAGTAGGTTAGAGGTTGCAGAGGCTGCTGCTCTGTTTGTATTATGTCGCAGAGATGACTGAAATGAAACGTGGTTTATTTGGGGGAAACGGTCTCTTGGTGATAACTATTGACCAAGAACACACTACAGCCTAATCCCAGGAGTGAAAAGGGGGCCAGGGATCACCTCAGTGATTGGACTAGCCAGTGGGTCAAGGAAACCAGGAAGGGACTCTAAGGCAACCCCCTTTCCCAACACACGCACACATACACACACACTTACGCACGCACAGGGTAGCCTCATTCATCTTCCAAGGGGCACACTCTTCAATTCACACCAGGTTGTCCTCTGGGGCAGCTGGCCTCTTGCCATTTACACATTGAGGTCAAACCACACCCATTTCAGCCAAGAAGCACCTTCCATGCCTCCCAAGGGGCAGTAACCTATACTGGGCTTGACCAACCTTGACCTTTTCAGATAGAGACTGTTCTGACCAGGGGGAGGAGAAAGCAATGCTTGGATTATCTGCTAGGCTGAGCAACCCATGCTTAGAGCACCGGCCAAGCAAAGGAGAAAATGTATTTCTGTAAAGATGTTTGTTTTTTAAAGCACTAAAGTAGCCACCAGGGGAAACAATCAGAACTCTCCTGCACCTTCTCATATCATTTTATGATTTAGTCCTAGTGTTATTTTTGAACTACATGTGGGGGGAGGGCATGGGGGGGTTGCTATAAACCTTTTTGTGCTTAGAGTGAAGTATCCTGCAGTAGTTAAGGATTCAGCCTCTAGAGTCGCTGGCTGCCTCTTATTAACCACATGACATTGGGCAAGTTACCACTAATCTCTCTGTAAAATGGGATGATTATGGTACTTCCTAAGATTGTTAAGAGTATGAAAAAGAGTTAATATACAAAAAGCATATAGAATAATACTAAGCATGTTGTAAGCACTATAGAAGTATTTGCTCTTAGTAGTGGTAGTGTCACTTATTGCCATTGAAGTTCTTATTCTGGTCCTAGGAGAGAAGGTGGGAACAAGGCCTTGCAGTCTGCTGCCAGCCCTGCCAAGGAGTCAGCAGCTCTCAAGGTCTAAATTCTGTGTGAAGAGAATTGAGAAGAAAAATACCAGAGGGTTGATGGGTGGGAGGAGTTTAAGCACATTGGTTTATGCCAAGAGCTGGTTCTCCCTCGTCTAGGCAGAGCCTTGATCTTGGACACTGGGGGTGTAGAAATAGTTTGTAGGCTAAGAAAAGCCACTGCAGGAATCCCATTCCTGGGAAGGTAGGCTAAAGGTAGCTAGGAATTGCTAGAGATGTGAAGAGGGTTCTTGGTGCCTGTGGCTGGGCTGCCTGAGGTTGGCCTCCTGTGTGTCTGTGTGTTTGTGTATGCATGTGTGTACACGTGCATCCATGGGCCTGTCACAGGGTTTCTGATGTGATGGACTTCAGCAACAAGGGCCACTGAGCTGTCTATTACTTTGGTTTGAAGGAGCAAACATGAACCTTGAGCCCACCCAGAATATGATGCCTTTACTCTTCCAAACTTCCCATCCCATTCAGGAATTCCCTGGAGAATTGGATAATTTATTGACTCAACAGATCAAGAGACCCAACCTCATGTCAGGTGCCACACAGAGGAACTGAGATGTTGACATGTACTGAGGCCAGGCCCCATTCTGAGCACATTATTTTTATAACTCATTTAACCTTCATAGTCTTATGAGGCCCTATCATGATTTTTATCATTCTAGGGGAGGAAATTGAGGCATAGTCATTTAATAACATGCCCAGAGCTGGAATTTGGACCCAAGAGACCTAGTTCTAGAGTCCAGAGTCATGATCTCAACGCTCCATCTCTGCTGCATGGCTTTGACCCTCCAGGCACCTGTGAGGTGGTGTAGAGGGATGAAGGGTCAACAATTTTCTAGGTAACTCAAAGAAGAGTCACAGCTGAGGTCCCACAATAAAGCAGAGGACCTCACAGGAAAACGACCAGCTTTACACCCAGGGCTCTTCTCTTCGCAGCTCCAACAGATGATCCTCTTACTGTTCCTACTACAGCTTCTTCTAGACTCCTACCCCTCTAGGGGTTTACCTTTTGCCATTTCCTGCCGGAGGAAAAGAGGGAGGTATAACAGCACAGAGAACTCTCCCTAACCACAGGTTCCATGGCAGCCACCCTAGCCCTTCGTTTGCTGTGTCTTGGTTGATTCAGGAGGAGGGAAAGACCAGGAACTGATGTGGCTGCTTTTTTAAGTTCAGTTACTTATCGTTGTCCAGAACTGGCAATGACAGGTGTGGAGCCACCTGTGCATTTAGCCCTATGTGGCAGAGAAACGGGCATCATGGGTGGTGAATACAATATAGACTCGTCCCATCTGCCACTGTGTTTGCTCTTGGGACTTGAGCTGAGCAAAGATCATGAGATAGGGTGTCAGGAAGTAGCTTCAAAAAGCCAAGTCTTAAATACAAGTGAATCTGTCCCTGTGGGGGTGATTCCTAGTCTTCAAGATCACTGGCACAGTCACTATCGAGGAATATTGCCTTGGTGGCCTTTCGGTCCCGTTGGCTTTTTATTCCAATTGGCCTCTCCCAAGCCTCCTGAGGCCTTGGGGCATCCCACCTCCTTTCTGGTTTTCCATCCTGCCCAGACATCCCACTCCAACTATATTAGTGAAAGTTTTGGTTGCAAGCAGCAGAAACTCTGGTTAACTTAGGAGGGAAAATCATTTATTGGAACAGTACTGGGTCACTCACAGAATCAACAGGAAGGCTGAAGAACAGGGCAGAGGCAGGAAACAGAGTGTAGCAAAGGCTCAGCTAAGTCCATTACAGAAGCAGCCTGCTGCTGTAACCACCACAGCCTCTGGACCCACTGCTGTCCTGCAGGAGCCCATCACCTCTGGACACTGAGCAATCCCCCAACTCTCAGCTTCAACACTGCTGCCGTGAGTAATCTTCTGACACTTTGCGTGGTCTCTCTAGATTCAAAATCCCAGGCAGGTGGCTGCAATTGGCTGCACTTAAGTCCCTGCTAATATTCTAGAAGTCAGGGCTGAGGAAAGGGGCTCTCTCCCCTCGACTCAGCGCCCATAGTTGGGAGGGCCTTGCTGCTCATCTGTTTTGTTAGTACCCCCCAAATCAAAGGCGGTTTGGAGAGGTGAACATATGGAAAAACCTGCCCTACTGTAGATTCCCCTGAAGAGGCGACATATTATCTTTGTGGGATGGAGAAAGGTAGTCTCGCCTCTCCCATGGTTTCTCTATCACATAAACGAGTAGATTTCCATTTTAACTAAAATAACTTCAGTATAGTCTTTAATATTTGCATCCAAAATAATCCTGACTTGTACTTCCAACTCCCTACTTGTGGTTCTCACCCAGGGATGGCATAGCCCCACCAGGGGACGTTTGGAAACGTGTGGAGTATTTTTTTGCCATTTAGTGAATGTCGACTAAGGATACTGAGCATCCTGAAAGGCATGGTGCAGTTAAACACAGTAACAAGTGCCCTTACCCGAAGGCCGATCGTGTCGCTGTTAGGAAACACGGGTCGTGTGTGCACCATGACAGAATGTCACTGATCTGCCTCTTCAACTCAGTCTGCTCACTGAGGTTGGCTGTGACTCCATTATTCTCGACACAGTGCAGAGCTGTGACCTATTCATCACAGTTGGCAAAACCACACATTTGCCATCCCTGGTTGTAGACCAGCTCCTTTTTTTGATTGCTAAGAAAACTGAGATGAGGAGAGAAGGCCTAATCTACCCCAGATCACACAGCTCAGTCTAGAATAAGCTCTTGGGGCCCCAGATGAGCGCTATTCCACAGCATTCTGCTGCCCTTGTTTTTTTAATGAGGCAGGCCTGGGAAGTCCGGACTTGCTTCGAAGTGTTTCCAGGAACCTCCCTGAGAGCTTCCTGGTAAGGCTCACAGGCTCAAGGTAGGACCCTGGGTGCCAAGGTGCCACCTGCAGATGCAGACAGTAAGAGGGAAAGAGGCTGTCTGTGGAAGGGGCTGAGTCTTGTGGGCAGGGCTGGCACAGCAAAGGGGTAAACAGAACTGGTGTCTCACCCAGGGGAAGGCGAGGGCTGAGATGATTTGCAGAGATCTGGAGTTTCAACCAGATAATCACACAGGAACTAATTAGCACCTTCCTTCCGAGCACAGCCCTCTGGGGGCAGGAGGATGCTCAGTGGAGAAGAGAAACCTATTAATTACTTTATCAGCAAGCACTGATAAGCACCCAAAAAGGTATAGCTCTGAGGCTCCCAGCTAATTAAAGAGGGCTGCAGGGAAAGGATGTGTGACTGGAGAGAGAGCGGGGCTCACTTTGATACTGAGCTGAAGCAGAGGTCCCAGGCTGAAAGCAACTAGGGGCTTCTGCCCCAAGGGCGACTCCCCCCCTTTCAGATCAGCAGCCCCAACCCTGGGGTCACTGGAAATCAGGGAGTCTGCTGCCTGCCCTCACTCTGGTCTAACTGGGGACTGAGGGCTTCTGAGCAAGGAGGTCTGGTCCATTTCCCAAGAACTCTACAAAAAAACAGAGTGTCTAGTCAGGGGCCTCTCAGGTAATGAGAGGCAGAAAGCCCACTAGAACCCAGATCTCTAGCTCAAAATCCTGTATTATTTCCACCATCCTATATTATTCTGCAGGATCTGAGGAACTTCCAGCCAGGCAGACTTGGGTTCTAGTCCCGGGCTCCTTCCTTAGCTCTTGGGACCAATTCCTTCATTTCTTTGGGCCTTGGTTTCCTCATTGGTGAAATATGGCTAATAATACCTTCTGAGATGGTTATAAGGAGGAGTGTTATGTCACAAGATTACATACATGGATCACCTAGAACAGAGCTTGGTGGACATTAAGTCTCTAATGCACCCGTTTTCAAGCTAGCTTCCAGCTGCAGAAATTTTAGCTCAAAGGTAATCTTACAGAGATGCCCAATATGCAAATAGCTAAAAGTAGGACTTCTCTCGAGGGAGGTTGGTGGGCATCTTGGCCCCTGTCTTCCCTGCAGAGACTCACTGAGCACCCAGAACTCCTCAGAGC